TGCTCCGAGGGAAGCCTGCTTCTCCCTCTCCCGCTCCCCCTGCTTGTGTTCCCTCTCTCGCTGTGTCTCTCTGTCAAATAAATAAATAAAATCTTTAAACAATAATAGGAAATAAAATAAAATAAAAAAGTAAAATTTTTTGTTCATTCAATAGAGATATAATGGGGTTTTACCTATGTTTTAATTTATTTCATCATCTATTAGTGAGGCTGTGAATTTTCCATGTGGACTTCTATCTTTTGCTTCATTCCACAGAAACAGCACAGCTTCTTTGACTACTTGCTATGTGGAATCTAAATATTGAACTTAGTTGTCTGTAGTACTTCTTCAAAAGTATTTTATTATTTTTGAAGTTTTATTTATTTGTCAGAGAGAGAATACAAGCAGGGGAACAGCAGGCAGAGGGAGAAGCAGGATCCCTGCTGAGCACGGACCCCAATGCAGGACTCCATCCCAGGACCCTGAGATAATGACCTGAGCCAAAGGCAGATGCTTAACCCACCAAGCCATTCAGGCATCCCTCAAAAATATTTTAGATACTAAACATTTGTATTTGTACGATGAAAATTTCCCTGTCTGGTGTTTCTTTTTTTAATTGAGTTATAATTCACAAACCATAAAATTCACCCTTTTAAAGTGTATGGTTAAATGGGTTTTAGTATATTCACAATGTATACAAACATCACCACTAAATCCAGAACATTTTCAAAAAAGCCCTGCGTCCATTGGCAGTCACTTGCCACTCTCCCCTTACCCCAGCCCCTGACAACTACTACCGTACTTTTTGTATCTATGGATTTGCCTATTCTGAACATTTCATGCAAGTAGAATCACACAGTATGTGGTCTTCTATGAACGACTTCTTTCACTTGGCATAATGTTTTCGAGGTCCATCCACGTTGCAGCATGTATTAGTACTCATTCCTTTTTTATTGCTGAATAATAATCCGTTCTATGGATATACTACATCTTGTTTAGCCACTCATCAGGGTTGGTTTGTTTTTTTTTTTAAAGATTTTTGAGAGAGAGAGAGCATGAACGGGGGGCGGGCGGCGGGGGCGGGGCAGAGGGAGAAGCAGATTCCCCAGGGATCGGGGAGCCTGATGTGGGGACTTGATCCCAAGACCCTGAGATCATGACCTGAGCTGAAGGCAGATGCTTAACCGACTGAGTCACTCAGGTGCCCCAACATTAAATTAACATTGTTTTGTCTTCTCTTATTGGTTATCAAATTCCATTTTTTTGTATATAGTATAAGGACACATTCTGTCTTTCCAGAAGAATAGACAATTTTTTGCTAGCACCATCTATTTTACACTAAGTTTAAATGCTACCCTTTCATATAGGCCCAGGTACATTGAGATCAACTTTGGCACTTACTCCTCTTTTCTACTGTTCTATTTATTTACTTCCAGTTCAAACCATACTGCTTTAATTGAAGTTTTTTTTTTTTTTTTTTTAAGATTTTATTTATTTATTTATTTGACAGAAAGAGACATACCGAGAGAGGGAACACAAGCCCGGGGAGTGGGAGAGGGAGAAGCAGGCTCCCTGCTGAGCAGGGAGCACCATGCGGGGCTCAATCCCAGGACCCTGGGATCATGACCTGAGCCGAAGGCAGACGCTAAACGACTAAGCCACCCAGGCGCCCCTGAAGGAGTTTGTTATTGTTTGCTTTGTTTTTGGTTTTTGATGTCTGGAAAAGCAAGTACCCTTAATTTTAGAAAAACTTTTGGTACCACACAGTTTTGACACTAGACTGTAACATATTTTAAGCCATGGCTAAATGAGTCACCTATAGTTAAAGTTAAGAAAAAAAAAATCCATTCGTATTTTTACTTTGGTCACCCAGGTGGAGGCTGGCGTTACATAGAGCAATAAAGCAATCCCTGCCCGGGGGTTGTCACAACACTGATCAGTGCCTCACTGGGGAATGAACCGAGTATGGCAACAACGCAGAGACAGGGCGGTTCGGCCTCCCTGAGAGGCTGAGGACGGAAACGAAGGCGACTGGAGAAGGATCACTAGGATTTCTCAGAAAACAAGATGGCCCGTTCAGACTGCAAGGTAGAAGCTGGCAAGCGGGGAAGGGAAAGGTCGCCCGGTTCTGACCTATGGGCCGCCCTCACCGGAAGGGACAGCTGTGACAGGACCCAGAACCAGGCATAGACCTTGACCCGCCACCCACCCACCGCTTCAGCGGTTCTTCGACACACCCTGGAGGCTGCTGCGGAAACAGCCGCAGCCTCTCGCGATCTTCCGGTCGCGAGTAGGCCGCCTACTTCCGGTCGAGCCCGGGGAAAGCGGGGTGGGGTGAGGGTGGGACTGTCCCGCCCCAACCGCCGCGCCTGGCGGCCTGCCATTGGCTGTTTGGAGCCGAACTACATTTCCCAGCAGGCCATGGAACTACACCGCCAGTACCTGGAGAGGAGCCAGCCCGTCATGGAGGATTGGAGCCAAACTTCTGCTTTTCGTCTCCCAGATAGAGCCATAGAAACAGCGGTTGCCTCCAGCCCGTTCTCCCTCTGGCGCTGAGAGCTCTGCCTGTCGTCCTCGAGCATCGCCTTCTCAAGTGCAGCCTGCCGGCTCCGAGCGGGGAGACCAGGCTTCCGAACCGGAAACGAGGCACCGGTTGTGACGTATCGGCTACGGAGGCGCCCGGCTTCCCAGAAGGCACCGTGTCCCGGCCGTCCTCCCCAACTGACGGCTCCTCACGCCAATAGTCACCGGCGGCCTGTGAGGACACTCGGAAGGGCGAGGGGAGGGCTCGGCCTCTCGCGCCTAGTTTCCCGGTCTCTCTGCGCCAGGGTCTCTGGGCCGTCCCCTGAGAGCGCCCAGGGGCGGCAGAGCCCCTGAGAGGTGAGGGGCTCCGCGAGGGCGGGAACCAGGCTGAGGTGGCCTGCGGGGAGCAGAGCTTGGTCCGTTGCTGGGGGAGCCTGGCCGGCTAGGGAGCCGGGAACGTACCCCGGGCAATGCCGCCGCCTGGGCTTTGTGTTAAAGGTACCCCTTGGCCGGTGGGAGAGGCTCCAGAGTGGGCCTGTTCAGCTGGGCCCCACTGTTTGGTTCTTCGCCGCTCTCAACAGGGCTTTCATGGCGGAAAGGAGTCAGCAGGTCGCGTATGGACTAATCGTGCGGCCTTGCGTTTGCTCCTTGAGCCATCAACTGCCCCCCGAAGGGCATCCGAGGGACCCGCGGTCCAAGGTGCGCAGTACGGCTTCATTTAATGGCTAGGCCAACTTCTAAGCAGATGCCCTTGGTACTGGACAGCAGGTTTCCTCTCTTCTAGCCCATTGCTCTTACCAGTGGAGTTTGCACTTCATATTTCTCAGGAGGATGACCCCTGGGGTTTGGATATCCTCTGGCTTTCGTTCTCAGAGCTTCCTCTCAGGCCTTGCTATGAGTGTCTAGTTCAGCGACCTTCCGTTTCAGTTAGGAGTTCTTCACACCAGCCTGTCTTTCCTTCCGCTTTAAATTTCACGTGGCCTCACTATCCTGGCCGTATATTGGACCTGGTTTTGTGGGTAAACCATGGTTTCTCTCATCTGCAGCTCGGCTCTCTGACAGATTTCCTTCAGTAAGAGGTGACTCCTGAAGCTCTGCAAAACGAGTGTGGTGTGTGATTGCAAGGCGTGATGGCTGCAAAAGTGGTTCCAATGCCCCTAAAGCCAAAGCAGTCCTTTATACTGAGAGTTCCTCCGGACTCCAAGCTGGGCCAAGACCTACTTCGAGATGCTACTAGTGGGCCCAAGACCATCCACCAGCTGGTTCTGGAGCACTTCCTCACCTTCTTGCCCAAGCCAAGCCTGGTCCAGCCCAATCAGAAAGTCAAGGAGACCTTGGTTATTATGAAGGATGTGAGCTCAAACTTTCAGAACAGACGTAAGAAGCACATGCTGTTTCACTAGAAGAGAAGGGAATGGTACTAGGGGCTGAAATAGGTTTTTATGTTAGTAATGAATTCAAGTTAGGATAGTGGGTATTGAAAAAAGTTGATTCTAATGTCAACCTGTTGAGGAGAAGGAGTATTTTTTCTGAAGCTGGAGTTTGAGTGGATTGCTGGGTGTGTGTAAACCCATAGAATAAACAGTGTCAGTTTTACCCAAACGTTGGGAGGGTGTATATCATTTTAGGATAAAGAAATGTGGATGCATTGTTGAAATGACTGCAGTTTATGTGGAATTTTGGAAATTTTGTGCATGTTGTGGGCATCTTCAGACATTATCCTCCTCCAGCCTTCCCTTTAGTAGTAATGGGAATTTTAAAAGTTCTTAAGAGAATCATTCTTTTCATAATGAGGAGACCCTATATAGGTTCAAGACCCTGTGGTTTATGGCTTGAACTCTTCCTGGGCTCAACAGAAGCAGAAAAAGCCATAAGTTGCCTTCGGAAGGAGTGAGGACAGTGTGGCCTTAAGGTGTGGTTAGGGTTCCCATATTAGAGTCACTGATTTTTCCATTAACTACAGCTTCCTCTTTACCCAGTGCAACCTCATCCCATGGTGAAGCTTCTGCCCAGAGAAGGAATCCAGCAGAAACAGGACCCAGTGTCTCTGTATTTGAAAACTGAGCCTGAGGTGGGTTTGGTTTTCCCATTCACTGTTCTGAGTACATCACCTTCTCTGCTCTTTCAACCCTCCCTGCTCAGCCAACCCATATATAAAAACACACTCTTGGGAGTCAGTAAGGAGAGTGGGCTTGTTTTTCACTGCCTCCTTGGATATTTCTGTTCTGCTTGTCCTCTGGCTCCTCTCTGAGCCTGGCTCTCTGGTCCGTGCTGCACCTACGTGGAGCTTATAGTCCCCTTTCACCTTCCCTTCCCTGATCATTGGGTTTCAGTCTTTTTTGCCAGCAGAGCTGTCAAAGAACCAAAGAACCTCTGTTATTAAGAGGAAGGGGGCCTATTGCTCTTTCAGGAACTGGTGGTCCTTGAGGACTTGAATATATTTCATTCCCAAGAAGAATGTGTGAGCCTGGATGCTACTCAACAGCCCACCTCAGAGAAGGAAGACAATGTTGGGGAGATGATGTTACTGGGTAAGAAATCTTGTGTGTTCATATTGAATGCTGTGGAAAAAGCACATTGTTCTGTCAGACTTTTTATTTTTTTTATTTTTTTAAAGATTTTATTTTATTTATTTGAGAGAGAGAGTGAGAGAGAGAGCACAAGAGGGGGTAGGGTCAGAGGGAGGAGCAGACTCCCTGCTGAGCAGGGAGCCCGATGCGGGACTCGATCCCGGGACTCCGGGATCATGACCTGAGCCGAAGGCAGTCGCCTAACCAACTGAGCAACCCAGGTGCCCCTTCTGTCAGACTTTTTAAAGACCTGATTAACACTAGCTAAGTACTTGGTCACACACGTTTAATTTTTGTTCTATTCGATGTGGCAGAGCCTGTACCAGCTGTGGCGGTCATTTTTCCTATATCTTTAGGGCAGCAAGGGCTAAGGAGACTTGTCTCGGTAAGCAAGACCTGCAGCTGATGTACTGCCGTCAGATATGCAAACAGATAGAAAATGCAGGGAGATTGTTTCTGAGTCCATTTTCTGGATTTAGTGCTAGTCCCCCAGGAGGTGTATTTTAAATTAGTGTTTTCACTGGACCCAGGACTCTTTTAAGTCTTTTTTTTCCCCTTGATGTCTAGTAGCTGTGAAGTCTACTAGTGTGAATGAAAATATATCCCATGTTGATGGGAATAATATCTAGCACTTATTAAGCACCCATGTGCCATTATGCATGAGGCACTAGTCTGAGTGTTTTGCATGCATTTATTATCACATACATTTCTCACAAAAGTACTGTAGAATATAGGAATTATTACTATTTTACAGATGACAGAACTGAAGCAGAAAAATGTTAAGAAACTGCTGAAGTTCGGGCAACCCTCTCAGGTCCCCTCCCTCTTCAGGATCCTCGTACTATTGCTCAATAAACTTTGCTTTCCTTCCCACCAAACACACACACACACACACACACACACACACACAAACAGAAAAGAAATTGCTAAATGTTACACAGCAGTAGGTAGCAGAGCAGGGATTTGGACTCAGAGATTCTAACATCAGAGCTTGCAGTCTTAGCCCAGAATTATACTGCCTTCTTCATTTCTCATAACTTTTTCAGTGAATTGCCTATATGGTTGATGAATGGGGCCTTCTTCATTTGTGCTTATTTCCCAGTAATGGTTAAAAAGTATTCTTTTGTGAGACTACATATGAACTCATCTGGCAGCAGCTTCTCTGTAAGCTAAGAAATGATTCAGCCTTTTTCTACAAATGCACTGCTAACCTAGAGTCAGGAACTCTCAAAAATCATTTTGCTGAGTGCTTAATACTTTTTACTTTGCCTTCAGGGCTGTTTGCTTCTGAGGCTGAAGTGGAACAGAAAGTGGGTTTTGTGAGTTGCTGGGGTAACAAAAATCAAATCCATGACTGTCGAACTCTGTAGTTGTCTTACATTGTGTGGTCAGGGTAGTGTGGTACATAGCCTGCTTAATTTCTCACAAGTTATTCTATGTAATATTTGTTTAAGATTTTGTATATTATAGGATGCCTGGGTGGCTCAGTCAGTTAAGCGACTGCCTTCGGCTCAGGTCATGATCCTGGAGTCCCGGGATCGAGTCCCACATCGGGCTCCCTGCTCAGCAGGGAGTCTGCTTCTCCCTCTGACCCTCTTCCCTCTCATGCTCTCTATCTCTCATTCTCTCTCTCTCTCAAATAAATAAAATCTTTAAAAAAAAAAGATTTTGTATATTATATATGTGTATATATGTGTGTGTGTACACACGTTTATTTATTATTTTATTTTTTTATTTTTTTTAAGACTATTTATTTGAGAGAGAGAATGAGAGAGAGAGAGCACATGAGAGGGGGAAGGTCAGAGGGAGAAGCAGACTCCCCGCTGAGCAGGGAGCCCGATGTGGGACTCGATCCTGGGACTCCAGGATCATGAACTGAGCCACCCAGGCGCCCCTATTTATTATTTTATTTATTGTAAACTCTATGCCCAACATGGGGCTCCAGCTTACGACCTGACAACAAGCATGCTCTACCAACTGAGCTAGCCAGGCAACCCTAATATTTTCTTATTTTAGAGATAAGCATAAACAGGTTTATTACACTGAGTTTTTCTCAGTCTTGGGTAAAATTAGCATATATTTTAGGTGACTGGTTGGTGGGTATGTTACCAATTCCAGGAACACTTTGGTCATGGACCTTGAAGCTCTCAGGCCCAATCCTCACCCATATGCAAAAGCTGATGATTTAAACCAACATTTAATAAATGCTACTTGCTGTGTACTTAGGTAGAGTTGGATTCTGGAGTTGATTATCAGTGGGTTCAAACGATACATAGTGCCCCATTCCTGCCCTTTAAAGCTTCCAATTTGTTTTTAAAAGATAAGTCATTCACATAAAAAGATAAGCATTACAAAACCAGTGTAGCTATAAAGGGCTATGACAAGATCAAGATAGGGTCTGGACCCAGGAGCAGAGTTTGGAAGAAGACAGATTTGATTTCAGATGAGATTGAATCCATGATAGGAAATAAAGTGAGATTATTTTCTGGGCACTTGAATATTAGGAACTGGAGGTCACATGTAAAGATGTAGAGATTTGGGAGTCATCAGTGTATAGCTGACATTTGAAACAGTAACATTAAGTAGTTTGGAGAGGGAAAAGTGTAAGGGAATGAACCTTGTGGGGGCAGGAATCAGGAGAATCCCTGGCAGAGAAGGATAAACTGTGTGTCTCAGTTCAAGTGAATCACATAAAACAACTGAAAATGTAGAAAGAACACTTAAATTTTCAAAGAGATAGTTTTCTGTGGTCATATCTGCCCTCTACTGTGCTAAGAGAATATGAGCCTTTTCAAGATTGATGCAGATTGACTACCTACTATTCAACAAAGGCAGACTCAATAGATTCCAAAAAGTAGAAATAACACAATAGGATCTATCACAGTGCAGTACAACTAGAAAGTAATAATGAAATTGGAAAAAAAAGTTCCCTTCACCAAGAAATGTTTAAACTATTAAGTAACCTTGGGTTACAGGGGAAATACAAATTAAAATTACACAATTTTTCTAGGGGCACTTGGGTGGCTCAGTCAATTAAGTCTGCCTTCAGCTCAGGTCATGATCCCAGGGTCCTGGGATTGAGCCCCATGTTGGGTTCCCTGCTCAGCAGGGAGCCTGCCTCTCCCTCTCCCCCTGCTTGTGCTTGCTTGCTGTCTCTCCCTCCCTCCCTCCCTCCCTCTCTCGCTCTCAAATAAATAAAATCTTTAAAGAAAAATAAATTTTAAAAAATTACATAATTTTCCTAGCATATACCGTGTTTCAGAATCTATAGTATAACACAGAAGTAGATATAAATGAATGGGAAGAAATACCATGTTGACTAGTCAAATTTAACATTAAAACGTCAGTTCTCCCAAGTCGGTTTATGAAGTGAATGTAATCCCTTTAAAAATACCAGTAGGACTTTTCTCCCTGGAACTAGACAATCTGATCTCTAATTCAGTTGGAAAAATAAATATGAGTAACCAGGAAAATTGGAAAGAAGAGCAGTGGAGAGGAAGGGGCTCATAAAGGTGTCGGGACAACTCAGCCATTTGGCAAATCATACCCTACTTTGCACACCAAGAAAAAGTCCCAGCAGATTGACTTAGGAATACAAATGACCAATAAACTACATGAAAAGATGTCCAGGGGCGCCTGGGTGGCTCAGTCGTTAAGCGTCCGCCTTCGGCTCGGGTCACGATCCCGGGGTCCTGGGATCGAGCCCCGCATCAGCGGGAAGCCTGCTTCTCCCTCTCTCACTCCCCCTGCTTGTGTTCCCTCTCTCGCTGTCTCTGTCAAATAAAATAACATCTTTAAAAAAAAAAAATGTCCAGCCCTACTCATAATTAGAAATGCAGATTAAACTTATACCAAGTTACCATCTTATTTCATCTATCAGATTTCTAGAAATCAGAAACTTAACACATTGGTAGTGAAGTTGTTGGGAGACAGGTATAATACTGGTAGATATGCAGACTGATACACTCCCTATATATGGGAATCTAATATTAAAGATGAATTTACCTTTGATCCAGCAGTCCTACTTCGGAGAATCTATCCTACAGATAACAGCACACATTCAAAATAATATGCAAATGAGGTTACTCATTGTTATATTGTTTGTGAAAACACAAGGTTGAAAACAATCCAAGTGTCTCTGCAGGGGACTAGTTGGATATGATGTGTCCACACAGCATACCATGGTAATCGCCATGCACTGGAATATAATGATCAAAATAAAGTAAGTTATATAAGAAGAGGGGAGAAAGGAAAATCTATAATCTAGAGAAACAATGGAAGAAAAAAAAGAAACTAATAAAAACTGGTACCTATCTGGGCGATGAGTAGAATGGATGGGGACAGGGACTGGAGTAAGACTTCTTAGCATATACCTTTTCATATTTAGATTTTTGAACCATATGAACCATATATTAGCTACTAAAATTTTTTTAATCTTAAAAAATTAGTACACTGGGGCACCTGGGTGGCTCATTCAGTTGAGCATCCAATTCTTGATTTCAGCTCAGGTCATGATCTCAGGGTTGTAAGATCAAGCCCCACGTTGGGCTCTGCACTAGGCATGGAGCCTGCTTGGGATTCTCCCTCTCCCTCTGTCCCTTCCCCTCCCAACCCCCCCAACCCTGCTCATGCTCTCTCACACACGTGCGTTCTCTCAGATAAATGAATAAAATCTTGAAAAAAAAATAGGGAAACCTGCTATCACTATTAAAATCATTAACTGGATAAAGCAAAAAGATAAGAAATATTGGGGTGCCTGAGTGGCGCATTCGGGTTAAGCATCTGCCCTCGGCTCAGGTCATGGTCCCAGCATCCAGGGATGGAGCCCCACGTTAGGCTCCCTGGCAGGGAGCCTACTTTGCCCTGTCATGCGCGCTTGCACTCTCTCTCGTTATCTCTATCTCTCAAATAAATAAAATCTTTAAAAAGAAAAAAAAATATTGGGAAGGGACGGAACCAAAATATGGTTTGTACTTAGAAAATCTAAAAGGATCAACAAAAACATCTTTAATAGTTTTAAAGTAGGTAGATAGGGAATGTTTAACAATAGCATTCTTAAAGTAACACAAAATGATGGAAGCTGTCATTCGGAATGGCTATAAAATAGTAAACCACAGGGGCTCCTGGGTGGCTCAGTCATTAGGCGTCTGCCTTCAGCTCAGGTCATGATCCCAGGGTCCTGGGATCCAGCCCTGTGTTGGGCTTCCTGCTCAGCGGGAAGCCTGCTTCTCTTCTCTCCTGATTCCCCTGCTTTGTGTTCCCTCTATCGCTGTCTCTCTCTGTCAAATAAATAAATATATAAAATCTTAAAAAAAAAAAAAAAGAGTTAAGTGTAAATATAAGTTATAAAGGAATGGCTAGAAAATAGAAAATTTGTCAGATTTTGATACTTTTTTTTATGGTTAATTTGTGGAGTTACAGAGAAAGACTTCAGCTAAATATTTACATCAGTAGTGATTGACACAGATTGATTTGCAATATGTAAAATTTATTTAAATTTATAAAAATCTCAGCCCAATAAATTACTAGTTTGTAATAACAAAGTACAAAAAAAACTACAATGAGAAAACATTTCATACCCATTAAATGTTTTTAAGTTCAATCTAATGCTGGCAAGATTAGGTAAAATTGATAACCCACATGTTGATGGTTGTATTAAAACTGGTAAGCTTCTTTTAAAAGAAGTGTGGCAATCTCTGTCAAGAGCTGTGATAGTTATTGCCGTTTGCTTTGACCCAGCATTTCATTACCTAAGGGAGTGAATGAAAAAGAAAACGCCTTTTGGTGTGAAACTGCAAAGTCCAGCAAAGATGCATATTCCAGCTGTGATTAGCCACATACTGAAGTGGTCGATTTAACCCTTTATTTTCAGCCAGTTGCCCAGAGTTTTGGGGGTCCCTTGTCACCCCACCTTTTCATGGCATACTTTTTTTTTTTTTTTACTTTGTTACCTAGTCTTTATAATCTGTTATTTTACACAGACTTCTTTTGGAGGTATAAATACAGAAAAGTCTACAAATCATAAGTGTTCCCCTCCGATTTCCACAAAATGTACACATTTGTCTAACCACCACTCAAATTGACTATTGCTTGCATCCCAGAAGTCCGTCTTGTGCCCACTGCCCAATTACTACTCCCGAAGCTTCCTCCCCTAAAAATACCACATTGTTTTCTACCATAATTTATAGTTTTATTATTTGTGGTAATCACTGTAATGCCCAAATAATCACCCACTGAGTGAATGTGATATGCCTTCATTATTTTTGGTCGTTTGAATTGTTGCCAGTTTTTCAGTATATAGGTCTATACAGTATAGGACACTATATGGTATGATCTAATCCTATAATACCGTAATATTTAGTGCAGTGAAAATCTAGAAATAACTCATCTTACTGTTCACTTACTAGCCTCCTATAAAGAGTATGAGTGGTACCCTTTTTAGTATTTATGTCCTTCATCCCTTGATCCTTAGCTCACTGCTCTACACAGAATATAATAAGATCAATATGCACTTTTTGAGTAATTAGTGCCTATTCAGAAAGCAAACATATGACATCTGTAGTCCCACTTATTTCATTAAAAAAAAAAAAAAGACTGTGTGCTCACACTGCATAGAAAGATTTATCAGTCATATATTCCACCCACAGTAAGAGTGGAAAAGGAGCGTTGATAATGATTATCTGCTGGTCCTCAGATTTCTGACACTCAAGATTATTGTTTGATGAGAAATCTAACTTGTTTTTTCCTGCCTGGTGTCATATCCCTCAAAAGTAGCTAAATTCTCTTTGTTTCCACAGTTAATGACGTTAATCCTGAGAGTGAAGATCTTCAGAAGGAAACTGTAGAGAGTGAAGATCATAGAGAAGGGACTTCAGATTGTGATGAAGCAGATTTTTCTGTGATCTCTGAGGAATCACCAGATTGCCATAAAGAAAGACTAAATACATCTATTCCCAAGCAAAGGAAAATGAGAAATCTTCTAGTTACCATTGAAAATGATACTCCACTAGAAGAACTCTCAAAATATGTGGATATCAATGTGATTGCACTTAGCCGAAATCGGAGAACAAGAAGATGGTATACTTGTCCGCTGTGCGGGAAACAGTTTAATGAAAGTTCTTACCTTATTTCCCACCAGAGGACTCACACTGGAGAAAAACCCTATGACTGTAGTCACTGTGGGAAAAGCTTCAATCATAAAACAAACCTTAATAAACATGAGCGAATCCATACAGGAGAGAAACCTTATTCATGTTCTCAGTGTGGGAAAAACTTTCGTCAAAACTCTCATCGGAGTCGCCATGAAGGAATCCATATAAGGGAGAAGATATTTAAGTGTCCAGAATGTGGGAAAACCTTCCCAGAGAACAAAGAATTTGTGCTTCATCTGCAGAGTCATGAGGCTGAAAGGCCATATAGTTGCAAAAAATGTGGGAGAAGATTTGGTCGGCTGTCCAACTGTACCCGGCATGAAAAAACCCACTCAGCATGTAAGACCCGAAAGCAGAAATGGGATCAAGAAAGGTCTGATGATCCTGCCTCAACCTGAAATGTTTCATAAGGAATTCTGAATTCCCAGGCTGTTTGAAAGTATACAGATCTGTGAAAACCTCATTATAGCCAAAATTGGGTAAATACCCATCTTGGCTAAAACCTCAAATTTTTAGAAAATTCACAGGGAAGAAAACATCCTCAAGGGCTATACCTCAGTTAGCATACAGGATTAAGCTTTCTTTTGTGAACTTATACAAGTGTAGAGGCCGCAGATCCCTTTCCCAAAATGGCTCTGAATATGAGTCGGAGGCCACTCACCTGTAAGGTGAACAGAGTGACTCAATGTATACGGAAAGCATATCCATTTTTCCCCACATAGGAAATCACACTTGAGACAAAAAAATAATGCGAAGGTCCTTATCTGGAACTGTGTTCCCCTGAAAGAACCAAACTACTGATTTGTTAAGCCAATAGCTTCTGTTAGCAATTCACATAACCTTCTAAGAATACCCTGTTAAAGCTTGAGTGTTGAAAGGGATTGTTTACTCTGGAATATAGGAAAATACAGCGATTGAATGTCAAAGACTTACTCTGTCATTTTTATGTGATCTAAACAATTGATCTCAATAACATTTGCATTTTGTAGTGAAAAGTGACTTTTACGGGAATACTTTTCACAACATACTTTTAAAGTGTCTACTGTTCTTACTATATTTTGTCCAGCTATTGCTTAGACAGCATTCTCATGCCTTTCCATTGCCAAAAGAAGTTTGGATCGCTCAGGCCCAGCCACCCAGCCCCATTACTGGAAAAGCTCTTCAGAAATGTTGTCCCTCTGATGAGCCAAGAAGAAAACCTGCCCATAAAAGAAATCCAAGAGCCTGAAGAGGAAGATGAAGACATTCGCTTAGACCCATGACTGGTCACTAACCTTACCATGTGCTTAATTCCCCTCCAAGCAGTCATCAGACCCTTGGCAATGGGTGGTCACTACCTCACAAGCAAAGTGTTTTATTTTTAGCATTTGTCTCCAGTGGCTAGCTCACATTGACCCTCATGGAGACAAGATTCCAGAGTCTTCATCGTAGTGGATATTTGTTCTCTTTCACCTGATACCTAGACTTTTCCTGACTTGTCTTCCCAGAGGCAAGGCCAGCGGTGCCTTCACGGGACCGATCCTGTGGTGTGTTATTTTAAAGATTCCTGATCAGTCTTTGCTTTTCTTTTAGGTTTCCTAAGGTTTTACATTGGTATTTTGATTGAAATAGGTTAATCCTATAAACTATTTGAGAAAACATGTTAGCTTTATAAATTTTGTTTCCCATCCAGAAACATGCCTTTCCATTTATTAAAGTATTCCTGAGTAAATTTTTCTAATTTTCTTCATGTAAATTCTATATAATTTTGTTATTGTAAATAGTTTTTTCATTGTATTTTTCTAGTTGATTATTGTTCTTACATAGGAGTTATTTTTAATTATATATTTGTGAAACTAGCCACCTCATTGAATGTTGTTAATTTTCCGTAATTTCTCAGTTTCTCAGTTTGTGGTTCAAAATTATACCATCCACAAATAATAGTTTTGTTCTTTTTCATTTTTTAAACATGTAGTTCTAAGCTTTGTTTTGGTCCAAAGCATACTAAAAAAGGACCTTTGATGGTACAGTTCAGTCCTGTGTCCTAATTCAAACACTTAAAGGCCACACATAAAAACTGTCCTTTATCAACTTTGTATTTTGAGCCTACAGTACCCTTTAAAAACCAGGGACAAAACTGGCTGCCAGCAATGTTATTCTCTTATTTCTTGAGAAGACTGGCTGGGGTCTGCCTGGTTATCACACCTAGAAAACACCTAGAAAACAAAGGCTAATTGGCTGCCAGGCAGTGACTGGGGAGGGTGGGGTCCATGGGGCAAGACTGTTCTGTCCTCTATGAAAGGGTCTGACCACACAGTCCTCAAGGCCTTTCGGTGTGTGATACTCCCACGACGTAAACCCCCTCCCCACACCAGGAGGTGCCCTCAGTGCCCTGGGCTGTGGTGCAGATGAGGACCTGTGCAAAGTCGTTGGTAACTACTGTCCCCAGAGGCTGGGGCCTGGGCTGCCTGACTTCCCTGCACCTACCCCCTGGACCCCAGTGGGTCTGGAACAGAATGTTCCTCACTCCTGCCCTTGAGCTCAGAGCAGGACGCCCAGGGTCAGCATCCCCAAACAGGAGTACACTGGGAAGGTGTTAGATGAGAAAGTGCTCAATAAGGAGCTGACAACCAGTTAATGAAAAACAGCACACAACAATGAATGGTTTTCCAATAGAGCAGCAAGGGTCAGAACATCTGACGGACCAGATATCTGATTCCAGTAGCAACTACAAATTGAAGGCATGCATCCCCTAAAGATGCAGCACAAGGCCCTGGGCTGTAAAAGGAAGCCACGTATCCATTGAATTTCTTAGGGTGGGAGGTGGGGGAGAGGGGAGATAGAAATTCATTAAAAAATACATATGCAGCTCCACCTTGACAAGTGCTAGGAAGCAAAGGATTCTAGAAGAGTGTTACAGGTGGATTTTCCCGAGAGGACTCTGGGGCAGTGGCCTTTAAACAGACCGGATGGATGAGATAGCAGAGGAAGGGGGCAGCAAGGGGATATTCCAATAAGAATACATGAACAGACAATCTTTAGGTAACCTTCAATGGCTACAAGAAGTATGAAAGAATCTTCAGGCTTACTAGTAATCTAAGAATTATAAATTTGAAGAACAAAATGTCAGGTGTATTAAACGAGCAGCGTGTGTGTTTATATGTTCAGCTTGGCAAAAGGGGAATATTAGCATTCATCTATTGTGACAATGTTAAAAAAAATTACTACGTGTCCCATCAATTTTTTTCTCAATACAAGGAAAAATAGAATACTAAAAATTAAACACAACCTAAATGAATAAATATGTATAATATTATATAGCTAATAAAAAACAGTGCTTTTAGTTGGCTGGGTGGGTCTCATCCTCTCCATTCTCTTTTAAAAAGATTTTATTTATTTGAGAGAGAGAGCGGGGGCAGGGGGGGGGAGAGGGAGGAGCAGACTCCCCACTGAGCAGAGAGCCTGATGCAGGACTCAATCCCAGGACCCCGGGATCACAAACTGAGCCGAAGGCAGATGTCGAAGCAACTGAACCACTCAGGCGCCCCTCTTTCTATTCTCACTTGGGCCCACTCCAGTTTCATCTTCAATTCCAACACTTCACTGAACATTTATAGAATATTTCACCCAATACCAGCAGAACACACATTCTTCTCAAGTGCATGTGAAACATCACCAAGATGGACCACATCTGGGCCATGAAGCACACTTTAGCAAATTTTAAAAAATAGAAATCATACAGAGTATGCTCTTAGATCACAGTGAAACTAAACTAGAAATAAATACAGATAACTGGAAAATACCAAAATATTTGTGGAAATTTAACAACACACTTCTAAATAACAGGTCAAAGAATAAATCTCAAGAAATTAAAAAATAGGGCGCCTGGGTGGCTCAGTCATTAAGCGTCTGCCTTCGGCTCCAGTCATGGTCCCAGGGTCCTGGGATCGAGCCCCACATCGGGCTCCCTGCTCCGTGGGAAGCCTGCTTCTCCCTCTCCCACTCCCCCCTGCTTGTGTTCCCTCTCTCACTGTGTCTGTCTCTGTCAAATAAATAAATAAAATCTTAAAAAAAAACCCACTAAAAAAAAAGAAATTAAAAAATATTTTGACCTAAATGAAAATGGAAATACAACTTACCAAAACTTGTAGGATGCAGTGAAAGCAATGCTTAGAGGGAAATTTTTAGCACTGGATGCATATATTAGAAAAGAAAGATCTAAAATCAATAATCTAAGTTTCTACCTTGAGATCTACAAAAGAACAGGAAATTAAATCCAAAGTGAACAGAAGAAAATCCATAAAAAAAAATAGAAATTGATGAAATTAAGAACAGGAAGTCAATAGAGAAAACCAACAAAATCAAAAGCTGGTTCTTTGAAAAGTTCAATACAATTGATAAACCCTTAGCCAAGCTAACAACAGAGAAATGGCACAAATACTACTGCCAGGAATGAAAAAGGGGTCATCAGTATGAATCCTTTGGACATGAAAAGGACACTAAAGGAATATTATTGTGAAAATAAGGGAAACTTTATTTTTTTCTTACGTAGGCTCCACATCCAGCATGGAGCCCAACACGGGGCTTGAACTCAGGACCCTGAGATCAAGACCTGAGCTGAGATCAAGAATCTAACACTCAAATGACTACACCACCCACGCACCCCAGGAAACTTCACTTTAAATGGAGTAGGGAGGCCAGAAGGAGGAGCTCTCACACCCTACCACTCTTCATCAATTACAGACCCAACAGGAAGAGAAGCTTTTTGAGTAGATACTACTTGACTACCTCAGCAGGAGAAAGAAAAGTTTTCTCCTTGCCCAGCAAGAACCCAGACAATGACAGTCACAACTCAGTCAATGAGGAGGCACTACACTTTGGAACTCCCAGTTAACCCAGTGGACTTTTTCCTTAGAACGGCCCCTCCCAACTCCCTGCCTTTCTCTGTAAAAGAGCAGTCCTCTACTTCGTTTTCAGGGATTGCCTATGGTTTTGCCACTGCTAGCATGTCCCAAATTACAATTCTCTCCTATTCCCAAATAAACCCATTTTTGCTAGTAAAACAACTGAGTTTTACTTTTAAGGTTAACATTATGAATATCTCTATGCCCATAAATTTTATATTGATAAAAGGATAAAACAGGAATAGATAACAATTATAAACATATATGCATCTAACAAGTCAGCACCAAAATACAAGAAACAAAAGCTGGTGGTTTCTTTCAAAATTTCAAGGAAAAGGTATTTTCTATCTTACTAAGAATTCTTGGATATATAGACGAAAAATTGAAATGTTACTATTTATTCCATTAGGCAAGCATATCAATACACAAATATGACAAATATAAAAATCACATGTTAAACTCAGAAACATCCTCTGATTCTGAATTCTCTGTTTTATCCAAGATGTCATTTTACCTATCTCTCTGAAATCAAGGGAAACTACACTATTTCCTCTTTGTTCCTCAAAATCCAGAGCATCCTGTTCAGTGATGTTTTAACCAGTTTCGTATA